ATAATTCAGAATTTATGGAAACATTCTACAAACACAACCTTCTGCAATGTACATGTACACAACCGGCTACAATGTCAACATCTCTGAGACAAATGTCCTTCCATGCTATGGTGCCAGTATGTCTAACATCTTCTCTGTTGCTATTTATTCTCTTGCCTCTTTCCCCCTCCAGGTTTCTTGTCATAACTACCGACTTCACCATTCTCTTGCCTCTTTCCCCCTCCAGGTTTCTTGTCATCACTACCGACTTCACCATTCTCTTGCCTCTTTTCTCCCTCCAGGTTTCTTGTCATCACTACCGACTTCACCATTCTCTTGCCTCATTCCCCCTCCAGGTTTCTTGTCATAACTACCGACTTCACCATTCTCTTGCCTCTTCCCCCCTCTAGGTTTCTTGTCATCACTACCGACTTCACCATTCTCTTGCCTCTTTCCCCCTCCAGGTTTCTTGTCATTACTACCGACTTCAATATTCGCTTGCCTCTTTCCTCCCTCCAGGTTTCTTGTCATCACTACCGACTTCACCATTCTCTTGCCTCATTCCCCCCTCCAGGTTTCTTGTCATCACTACCGACTTCACCATTCTCTTGCCTCTTCCCCCCTCCAGGTTTCTTGTCATCACTACCGACTTCACCCTTCTCTTGCCCCTTCCCCCCTCCAGGTTTCTTGTCATCACTACCGACTTCACCCTTCTCTTGCCTCTTCCCCCCTCCAGGTTTCTTGTCATCACTACCAACTTCACCCTTCTCTTGCCTCATTCCCCCTCCAGGTTTCTTGTCATCACTACCGACTTCACCATTCTCTTGCCTCATTCCCCCTCCAGGTTTCTTGTCATCACTACCGACTTCACCATTCTCTTGCCTCATTCCCCCTCCAGGTTTCTTGTCATCACTACCGACTTCACCATTCTCTTGTTCATGACATGCCTGAAGAATCTTCTAATGCAGGCAGCCAGTTTTTTTCTTCATAAACTTTTGTTTCAATATAACTTTATTACACTCCCCACCCAACCCCTCCCCCACCACCCATTTTACAATCCATGGTGTTCTCATCGTTTTTCTATCTAAGCCTATGTGTGTAGCTTGCACATCATGTACTCCTAGTCTGCTGACTGTCCATGATTGCCTTCCACCATCAAGACTGGTTCTACATACCAAACATTACAGGCAATTATGCTCTCAACAGTCAGCCTTGATGTCAGCAAACAGACAAGAGTAAAATGATCTGTTGAAGTTATTGAAGCTAGCACAATAAATCAGAAACAGTCATGAAACGTATTTTATACTGCTAAAACTGCCCAACAAAATGTGTGACTTTAACAAAATCATGAATGAAATAATCCAGGTGAAGGTCATCAGATCTCTGATGTTTATCACAAAGATGCAGAATAACACAGACAGTTGTATTTCACAAACACTGGACAATTCTTTACTGCTAATAGATACTGTTTGTGTTCATATCATAGACCATAACAGATAATGCAGTTAATGGGACATACTGAGGTTCTACATCTAATGTGACAGATGATACACATGGTGAACTTAGTCCCGCATTTAGTAGAGTATTTAATGTTTTATTTTACACAGAAAGTCTGTGTGTATTTACATCTAACATAGTTCAAAGAGTATTTGAAAGCTTATCAAACAACATAAATTGCAAGTAGCATAAGTAATAATTAAAAGCTGACTTCCCTAAATGGGCAGGCATATGCAAAAATAATCTCATGCTCAAATTGATAATGCTCCTTGCAAATGAACTTTCTAATTAATTCTAAACATAAAATCATAATTCTGAAATTCATATATACAATAGTACAATTTAAAAAATTCAAAATGTCTCTGCCAATAATGTGTGGTTTTGTAATTTATAAATACTGCAGGTTATATCTTGTAGGTTTGACAATATTTGTTTCCAATCCATGAAATGTCAATATCACATTTATGGGGAATTTTTGAGGAGCGAGATATTGAATGGTCTCACATTGTAAACTATTGATTTTAGGGGATTGTGATAGTAGTAGGCAACCATCAGTCCCTGAGGCCCAGAGTGTTGTTTTGCTGGTTTTGGCAACAGTGTTTGCTATCACTGTAAAGTCCACCAATGCGGGAGCGGCATTCTCCGCCACATAGTCGACATAATTGCATTGATACTCTTTTATTCTGAGACTGGTTTATTTCTCAGACATCACCTCATTATACCTTGCTGCGTTTGAAAGTCTTGTCTTTCACTGTCTGCAGCCGATCTCTCTCAAGTGTCTGTGTCAATGTTGATATCTTTCAGGTCACATGCGTATATGTCCTTATAGCATAGCAACTGCCTTCTTGCAGATCTTATCAGAGTTACCAGTTCACCATACAGAAGATTCTTTGGAATGTGGTTATCCTCTGTGCAAGAGACATGTTGCAACCATTGCAGACGTCTTTGCTTCAGTAGAAAGTAAATTATTGGCATTCCTGCTCTCTTGAGTTTACATTCATCAGGGACAAAATCTGGCCATGATTGACAAAGATTGCACCTCATACAGAGGTGTAGAAAGTATTCAATCTTTTTCTCACATTTTTAACTAATGGTTCTGGGGGACTGTGATATTGTGTATGTAATAAATCAATCAGGCTTCATCTTAACATTAAAGGTTTGCTGCAGTGGATCTCAGATGCACTTTATCTCTGTCCCTGCATGTGCCTCCACTATGACTATTGTTGAACAGTCTCTTGATGTTTACCTTTCACTAGAGTTGCTGTTTAGTATTTGCTTACTTGAACCTCTAACTTTTTATTCCCTTACTATTTGTATAAAAGTGTTCTTTCTTATATTTTTTTCAACAACTTGATTTTCATTCCAGTCTCTCCAGAACCTCTGTATGTGATTGTTTTTGTAACCATTCTAGTCTCTCCAGAACCTCTGTATGTGATTGTTTTTGTATCAATTCTAGTCTCTCCAGAACCTCTGTATGTGATTGTTTTTGTATCCATTCTAATCTCTCCAGAACCTCTGTATGTGATTGTTTTTGTATCAATTCTAGTCTCTCCAGAACCTCTGTATGTGATTGTTTTTGTATCAATTCTAATCTCTCCAGAACCTCTGTATGTGATTGTTTTTGTATCCATTCTAGTCTCTCCAGAACCTCTGTTTGTGATTGTTTTTGCATCCATTCTAGTCTCTCCAGAACCTCTGTATGTGATTGTTTTTTAATCCATTCTAGTCTCTCCAGAACCTCTGTATGTGATTGTTTTTGCATCCATTCTAGTCTCTCCAGAACCTCTGTATGTGATTGTTTTTGTATCCATTCTAGTCCCTCCAGAACCTCTGTATGTGATTGTTTTTGCATCCATTCTAGTCTCTCCAGAACCTCTGTATGTGATTGTTTTTGTATCCATTCTAGTCCCTCCAGAACCTCTGTATGTGATTGTTTTTGTATCCATTCTAGTCGCTCTAGAACCTCTGTATGTGATTGTTTTTGCATCCATTCTAGTCTCTCCAGAACCTCTGTATGTGATTGTTTTTGGATCCATTCTAGTCTCTCCAGAACGTCTGTATGTGATTATTTTTGTTTCCATTCTAGTCGCTCCAGAACCTCTGTATGTGATTGTTTTTGTATCCATTCCAGTCTCTCCAGAAACTCTGTATGTGATTGTTTTTTGCATTCATTCTAGTCGCTCCAGAACCTCTGCATGTGATTGTTTTTGCATCCATGATACATGATCTTTTTTTTTTTGCATATGTGTATTTCTAGAATCTTAATATGATTTTCTCACTTTCTGTTCCCTGTCCATGTTTCTGCATCACTGAATGATACTGACTGAAAACAGCTGTCTTTTTTGCCTGTATTTACCACTAGGACCTGGTGTAGGTCAGGAGGTCGTTAGCCTGAGCATTTTGGGTAACATGGCTGCTGCTGTTGCTACAGAGTGTGTTTGCTGGGATTTTTATTATTATTTTTTTTTTCAAATTTCAAAATCAATTATGCTTCTCTTGAAAAGTCTTTGGGAAAAGGGGGGGGGGGGGGAGAGCGGGGAGGGGAGGGGAGTTGGAGGGGATCACTGCTCTAGTTTATTCTTGATTTCCAGCAGTCTTTGTCTTGAGGATTTCAAGTTATACCCTGGCAAATCTTGATAAGGCTGCTCATTATCAGTAGATCAATTTACTTTACTGAGACAAGTTTCTTCTAAGCCTTGTTTTTGTTTCACTAGCCTCTATTTATGTTTAGCTGTTTGATGATATTCTAGTTTCTCTTTCTATCCACCCAAGACTCATATTCCAGAGACGCACATTTCAAAAGCTTCACTTTCATTTCCTAACACTGTAGTCAAGGTGCAGCTTATAGCTAAATACAGCTGTACTTACTACTTGCACCACTTGACAAGTTCTCATTTTCTGTTAGTAATATTTGTTCAGAGACAACTGTACATTTCATGTTGCTAAATTTACCAGAAAGGTACTTTATGCTAGCCATTCTTTTACCATACATCCACACACATGTGTATGAACATATTATTTAATATCTAAACACTCATACTAGTTGACATTTGTTTCATGGACTATTTAGGTGCCTTATATTATAATTGCATATGCAACTATTAATTTGTTGTAACTGCTACTTCTATTAGGGATGAACTGCATTTCTATTATTGAACTGTCTGTGTTAGCATTTCTAATGGCTGCCTTATTAATTTAATGCACGTGCTATAGGCTTTGCTGAGACTGCAGTCTGTCTTAATTATTTTCACAAGAGACAGTGATGGACTTTTTGTGTTGTTTTCTTTGGCACAGGAACAGACCAGCTATGGAGAGATGAGTTTGCTATAAAGCCAGAACTGTGATTACCTGACTATCTGATCTGAACAAAACAAATGAATGTTTACTATATTTGAGAACCACTTGCTCCAAAGATATAACTTGGTAAGTTACCAGGAAATGAGACCAACTAGGTTATGTATGTTCTAGCAGACTACTGTTGTAATAATGTTGCTTTGTTTGCACAACCTGGCAAGCTGAAACAGTTATGTGCGTCGCTCTCTGTGGCTTGCTGGTCGGTTGTTATTGATGGTACTTTTGTTGTTATTCGTAGCTGATGGGTCATGGCAGTGGCTGGGGATAAGATACAAGGACAGTTAAGTTAGTTGTGTATACTTTACAGAACGTTGCAGAACCAACCGCAGCATTTTTTTGGCTGTTGTGGTTTTTTTTTTATAGGCAAAATTTACATTCAGTAGGTGCCATTGATTTCTGAACAGTCAGCTCTTGGTACTAATGTCAAAACCAACACAAGACAAACTGTCCGCAGTTAGAATTAAATCCGGCACTCCGGCACCCCAGCATTATGTAGCGGGTTCACAATGCCTAAGTCACAGACGCCAACACAAGTTCAGAGAGCTGTGATATTTGTTGCAAGACAGTACATATACTTGGATGAAATACTTTAGATATACATGAGGGCAGAATTTCACAAACCAATACAGTTTTGGTAAGGGATCATTTTCGAAGCACAATCCATTAGTTCTACAGTCTTCTCCTTTAGATCTCCAAAGAAGAATCTCAGCCCAGTGCACAAAACTCACAGCACAGCCGAGGATTCACATATTTTTACACAAGAAACATATCTATTCTTTGGTGTTGCATAGGTTTGTTATCGGCGACTTGCTTTTTAAAAAAAAATATCTAACTGCTAAGGCATTTTTGACATGTCGTATATTTTCCTTGTCCAAGAAGGTTATTTATCTGATAGTTCAACCCAAGATCAGGAGGGAGTTATAAGATGTTGCTGGGCAGTGAGCATTCTCTTGTTGATTTCTCCAATACAACAACCATCCCTAGGTACCAATACTTTATGTTTTAATTCAAAGTTAGTTTTAATATCTTCTGTCTTGACCTTGAGGATGGCACAGATATACTTTGCCAAGCTTTACTTCCAGGTTACACAGTTGGGTTAGCACCGGAGATTCATCATTACTTATGAATCTGGTTCATCTTCTTCTTCTTAAAGTATATGCTAAATGGCATTGGCAGTCATGTCTGTCCACAGCCTTCTGTCTTGTGTAGCTTCAATCAACTCTGACACATTTGATCCTCTGTGCCATGATGTCCAACTGTCCAGTCTTTTTTCTCTTGGTCTCCCTCTGCCTCTCCTCCCCTCCAACTTTTCTACTGTCATGATGTACTCTAGTTTTCTCCTTCTCATCACATGATCAAAGAATGCAGATTGTCTCTTTCTGATGAGGGCAATCAGTTCTCTTCGAGAGTGTCTCTTTCAAGACATCTTCATTACACTTATTATCTGTCCAGGGTATTATCATTTATCTCAAAAACCACATCTCCTCAACTTCAAATAAGTTTTCACTAACTTACCAACTGTCCATGATTCACTTCCGTACATCAAGATAGGATTTATATAGCTTTAAAGAATTTTTGTTCTCTTTTCAATTGACAAGTAAAGATTGCATAAAATATTCGTAATTTTGTAAAATGTTGCCTTTGCTTGAGCTATTTTACATTTAACTTCTTTGATACATCTTTCATCATGGTACCCAAGTATTTAAACATATCAACTTGTTTGAGGTTTGGCCAACTTACTTTGATGTTGCATTTTGGAGGGTCAGTTTTCTTTGCAGTTACCATTACTTCTGTTTTTCTGTAGCTCTGACTAAGACCCTTGTTTTTACTTTCCATTACAATTATTTCCATCATTTCTTGCAGTTGCATTTCACTTTCAACGATCAAAACATCAGCATATTTCAGGTTGTTAACAATATGTCCATCAACCAATATTCCTGGCATACCATGTATGGATCTAGCTATTATTTTACTGCACAAATTGAAAAAAAATTGGGTGATAGTATACCCTCCTGTCTAACATCTTGTTTACAATTTTTGAAAAAGTTCTAACTTGGTTGTCAATACTTATGGGCTACATCTTATTGCCAGTACATGTTTTTTTTAAATTATTCTCAGATCATTACCATCAATGTTTGTTTCAAAAATTCTAATAATTTCTTTGTTTCACTTTATCAAATGCTTTTGTGTAATCAATAATGCACTCTGTTCAAGTCAATCATTCTTTTTAAAGGTGTTCTCAAAATAAATATGGCGTTATTTCTCCCTTTACCTTCAACAAAAATCACACTTCTCTTCTCAAATTTCTGGTTTAAGTTTGCACCTTATTTTTCTCATGATAATTCTCATTAATATTTTAGTCACGTGACTCATTAAACTAAGTGTTCAATGTTCTCCACATTCAACTGCACCAAGTGTTTTAGGTAAAGGTATGAAAAGATATTTGGAAAGTTCATCAGGTATGTGTCCACTGTTATAAATACCATTGAACAATTTTGTCAAAACTTTTAAACCTAATTCACCTGGGTCCTTACAGCGTTGATTAATCAGCTTTGTCAAACTTCATTCTACATGTATTGATGCCTTAAATCCTATTTCATTAAAATTTATATCGATATACCCAGGTGTATAGATTCAGATGAGAGAGGTGAAGTCAGTATACCATTCTTATCTTGTTTTGTAATACAAGTTCATATTCTGTGTGATGTACATGGCCAAGAGGCACCAAGCCATATAGAATAACACCCGGTGCAATGAAGTGGATTCTCTCAACTTCAACTCAACTTATTTTGTAATACAGTTCACATTGTGACCATGATCTCAATCAGCTCAGTTAGAATGTAGACTCTGTACCTTTAAGCCATACAGTTTCCTTGAAACATTCTCCCTTAACAGACACGTCACATGTTAGACATTTACATTCACTTAAACACGGCGGGGAGTTCCTTTCCTCATAGTCATTATTATACAGAAAACTGAAAATTTATCCAAAACCCGACTTATGAGTCTTTGTGCACATTAGAGACACACTAATCACACAAAAGCACACTTCTTCTTCTTCTTCTTTGTGTTTGGTTTCGTATGCTCAGATCAGTCCATCAGGTGGGCTGCCTCTATGAGCTCTCATGTCAGTAGCAGGTCCTTTATGGTTCCCCATAGCTTGCTCTGCACACTTTGCTCTTGGGGCCAGGTGTCTTTTCAAAGTTGTAGGTAGGGTGGGCAGGTATGCACAATGTGCTCGTGTGTTTGTAGTCCTGTCTGACAGGCTCACTGTGGGGTCTGTACAATCTTTATTTTATGCATGTGGTAGTTGAGCCTGCAGTGTCCTGTTCGTATACGGAAAATTGTTGTATGTTGCTTTCTGTTGAGTCTGCTGATGGGGTCTTGGGGATGCTTACTGTTAGTTTGTTTTCCCCACAATTTATTGTATTTTTCCTTGATAAGTGTTCTGATTTCTGGTAATAACAATGAAGGGTTATGTTGTTTCTCGTTTGTTCCATTTTTTTAAAGTCTGTCTGCTAACTCATTTACTGGTATGCTGAAGTGAGCCGGGATCAACTGGAGAACAGTTTGAATGTTTTTTGCGAGTCTGTTTAGCTGGCTGGTCAGTTCTCTCTCCATGTTGTCTCATGGATCTCTCTGAGTTGCCTGGAGGACTGACATGCAGTCACAAAGGAAAACATTTTTGCTGTTTTTAATTTTCTTTCCTCAAGCACTTTGGCTGAATCTATAATTGCTTGCTGCACTGCTCTAAAATTTGTTGAGAGTCTTCTGGAGGCACCTGACGTTTCTGCTGTGGTTCCATTCTGCAGCATGATGACCGATCCAGCTCCTCCATTTTTTCCTGCTCCCTCCAGTGATCCATCGGTGCATATGTGTGTCCAATCTGGTTTTGGATAAGAGTTGTAGACATGTTCACGGGTCTTTGCATGCAGTACTAGGTCACATTCTTTAGCCTTTCTATATATGCCTGGAATTATTGTGACTGTATAGTTAGGCTGTGGGTCTATGCTGTATGCCTGGATCATTTCCCACATTGAAGGATCTTTAAAAAGGATGTCACTGTTTTTTTCGTGGTACAATTTTGATAGATGGTGAAAGCTTTGTCTTTCAAGTCAGTTTTTAGTTAAGTCATTTGCTATTCTGTGCATGGTGTTATTGTACATGCGTTTACATTTTTCTGTTAGCGTAAGCAACTTTTCTTCCCATCGAAGGCTCAAGCTCTGGAGGCCACAAGTTGCCTTCAGTTAATTGATTGGTGTGCTTCGCATACTTCCAGTGATGTTTCTGAGACCAGTGTTCTGTATGTTGTCCAGTTTGTGTAGGTTTGATCTGGCTGCAGGGAGTATGCTCCCATGCCATACTCCAGTTTTGGTTGTACGTATCCTGTGATTACTTGTCGTACAGTGTTGGCCTCTGTACCCCAGCTTGTTCTGGTAAGTTTCTTCATAAGTTTGAGCCTCAGGTTAGCTTTCCTTTGGGTGTCTTCTGTGTGGGGGCCCCAGGTGAGCCTTTTGTTGAATTTTACTCCCAAATATTTGGGGTTATCCTTTTTTTTTTGGAAAGGAGGTTGCCTTCTTAATACAGATTAACTCGTGCGTGCATGCGTGCGTGTGTGCGTGCGTGCGTGCGTGTGTGTGTGTGTGTGTGTGTATACATATTTTAATATGTACTGTTTACATTAATTTATATATTTATTTCTACTCATTTTTTGCTTCCACCCTTGGTCATTCTTAGTTAATTTTTTTTCTTGTCCACCCTTCCTTCCTTCCTTCCTTCCTTTCATATGTATGTGTTTTGACTCTTTAAAAATGGATCACCACTTTAGTGGCTTTTTAATCCATCATGTTCGGATGGATGCCACTTTAATAGCTCTTCACAAAGACCTTCTAATATTGTTTTCGTTTGATAGGAAAAGGAATTTGTGTGAGCAAGTTTTGAAAAACTAGAATTAGCAAAGAAAAGTCCTTTCATTTTTGAAGTTTGACATAGTGTTGGATTACTTTCTGATTTGTTTTTAACTAATTCAGTGTGATAAAATTTGTATGCGATTTTTCCAGACCAAATGTTAAGGGAAAAGGTCTAGAACTGTTCATATTACTATGTTGATAAATCTCAGCCAGATAGTGACAATAGTCTTGATATTATGACTGATAATACAAGTGTCAGATCAGCCCCGTTTTGATCAGTTGTGTCCAAAATTTGGTTGTTGTGAAATTTGACTTGTCATACAAAAAAATTGTCATAAAATCCAAACTATTTTAATTGACTGTTTCAAATAAAGACCAGCGGATGCATAATTGAACAGAGGAGGCATGTGAATTCTTAGAAATGGATACCAGTTTTGCTAACAAGTAAAAAGTAAGGTAAGCACAAAATTTCATGTGTAAATAATCTTCATATGTGTCTAATATCCTTGAATGTGGCAGGATTTTAATAATTTGATTGGTGTAATACTGATATAGTTCACATTTATTCTGCATTTATTTCTCTTTAATGTGATATATTAAATGTCCTTATACAGCCCATATTTATTCTTCAGGAAGGTTCTCAATTCATCATGTTGCAGTGAAAACAAAATTCTGCTTAAAATGAATGCTGTCCAAACCTCAGAAAAATGTCATCCTGAAAGAGTTAATGCACTTTGTTTTTTTTGTAGCAGCCTTCTCTCCTGTTTTCTGCTATTTTCAGGTTAACTTTAATTTTCCTTTTCTTAGTTTTAAGGATTCATCGCTGTTCAATCATTTCCATCTTATGTTTTTTTTCTTGTTTCCTCTTCCTGCATGTTACAAGTAATCATTTTGTGTTTATATTTATTTTCTTTCTTCCTGTTTGTATGTGTCACACTACATTCTGTTTGTGTTTGTATGTGTCACACTACATCCTGTTTGTGTTTGAATGTGTCACTCTACATCTCACTACCCTAATCATAAATACTGTCATCGGCAAGCCTTTAATTTTTCCTTTAATTCCTGTTCCTGTCTTCTCTTAATATCCTTTCCTCATCTGCTTATAATAATTTTTTTGGTGCTAATCTGTTTATTTCTAGTTTCTTTTTTCTAGCCTATTCAATCCTCTCCTTGTTTCTTTTTAATTTCTTGTCTCATCTGAAACACTGTCCTAAAGTTTTCATTCCTTTCATCTTTTAAAAAAATCTTTTCCTTGTTTTCTGTTACTTTTCAAGTTTTTTCCCAATAATTAATTTTCTGGTCTTCTCTGAATTCCTTTGCATGTTCCAATTTATGTTTTTGTTCTATGTTGTGTTTTATTTTATACAGAACTATTTGCCTTCATCTTGTTCAGCTTGATGTTACCAAGACCCTTTGGAAGCAAGTGAACAGTGCAAAGGTCCAAACATCATCAAGGTCTGAAGAGAAAAGTGCACTGATGAGTGGCCAGGGGATCTGGCTGACACTCAGTACACATGAACAAGATCAGTGGCCAGGGGATCTGGCTGACACTCAGTACACATGAACAAGATCTGGCTGACACTGTACCAGGGGATCTGTACTGAACACTCAGTACACATGAACAAGATCAATGACCAGGGGATCTGGCTGACACTCAGTACACATGAATAAGATCAATGACCAGGGGATCTGGCTGACACTCAGTACACATGAACAAGATCAGTGGCCAGGGAATCTGGCTGACACTCAGTACACATGAACAAGATCAGTGACCAGGGGATCTGGCTGACACTCAGTACACATGAACAAGATCACTGACCAGGGGATCTGGCTGACACTCAGTACACATGAACAAGATCAATGGCCAGGGGATCTGGCTGACACTCAGTACACATGAACAAGATCAATGACCAGGGGATCTGGCTGACACTCAGTACACATGAACAAGATCAAAGAACATGCAATCAGACTGCTACTGGTTCTATTGCACTTGGAATTCTGCAATGGATGCTGAAGATGAAAACACAGAGCTTACAGGAATGTCCTGATTGTTATGATGTTAGTTCCTACTCAACTTATCTCCTTCATTTAAGCATTTCTTTATTACTGACTCCAACCACTTACAGGTCCTGACGGAGCTGGCATTTATTCAGAAATGACCGTGGCTCCCAGGGTGACCTTGCCTTAAATGGGTATCAGGTAAATTCCTTGGAAAGAAAGATGGCCATATGTTGAGCATATCACCTACTGAGGACCAACTGGTCTATCAATTATAGCTCTAGTCCTAATTGATTAAAGGTGTAGAAAAGGGTCCTTGACTTGAACAATTTTTTGTTTAACAACCACTTTCCAAAAAGACCCTGACATTGGAGATGAAAGTAAAAAACAACTAAAAAAACCTTTATTATAGTAAATACAGCTCCACCAATTCAATTGTAATGTTCAAGACCCTAATGGTTCACACCAGCAAGATAAAGCCCAGCATTACCAGGTCACCCTAAGGCCAAAACAGCATAAAATTCAGCATTACCAGGTCACCCTGAAGCCAACACCAGCATTAAGTCCAGCATTACCAGGTCACCCTGAAGCCAACACCAGCATTAAGTCCAGCATTACCAGGTCACCCTGAAGCCAACACCAGCATTGTCCAGTATTACCAGGTCACCCTAAAGCCAAAACGAGCATTAAGTCCAGCATTACCAGGTCACCCTGAAGCCAACACCAGCATTAAGTCCAGCATTACCAGGTCACCCTGAGGCCAACACCAGCATTAAGTCCAGCATTACCAGGTCACCCTAAAGCCAACACCAGCATTGTCCAGTATTACCAGGTCACCCCAAAGCCAACACCAGCATTAAGTCCAGCATTACCAGGTCACCCTAAAGCCAACACCAGCATTGTCCAGCATTACCAGGTCACCCTGAAGCCAACACCAGCATTGTCCAGCATTACCAGGTCACCCTGAAGCCCACATCAGCATTGTCCAGCATTACCTGGTCACCCTGAAGCCAACACCAGCATTAAGTCCAGCATTACCTGGTCACCCTAAAGCCAACACCAGCATTGTCCAGTATTACCAGGTCACCCTAAAGCCCACATCAGCATTGTCCAGCATTACCTGGTCACCCTGAAAGCCAACACCAGCATTGTCCAGTTTACCAGTCCAGCATTGTCCAGCTGGTCATCCCAAAGCCAACACCAGCATTGTCCAGTATTACCAGGTCACCCTAAAGCCAACACCAGCATTGTCCAGCATTACCTGGTCACCCTGAAAGCCAACACAGCATTGTCCAGATAACCAGGTCACCCTAAAGCCAACACCAGCATTGTCCAGTTACCTCACCCTAAAGCCAACACCAGCATTGAGTCCAGCTCCATGTCATCCCAAAGAACATCCATTGTCTATCATTACCAGGTCACCCCAAAGCCAACACCAGCATTGTCCAGCATCTTGGTCGTTTGAAGCAACTAAGCAAAGTTGATTACCTGGTCACCCTAAACCCACATCAGCATTGTCCATAAACCAGGTCACCCCAAAGCTCAACTTCTTCATTGTCCAGTATTACGTTCACCCTAAAGTCAGCAAATTCCCAGCCTTACCTGGTCAAGTCCTCTATGTCCACCAGCATTGAGTCCTGCTCCATGTGCAGATCATCCCTTTCTATCAGCAGGTGCACTAGATCTTCGTTTAGCACTAACAAGTTGATAAATAAATATATATATTCAATAAATCAATTTACTCTAAAGTACAAGGCAGCATACATTCTCAAAACAATCATTCTATGCTAGCCATCAATATCAAAGGATGCTAGAATGTGTGAACAGCATATTTGTTCAAATAATTTTAAAATGAAAACTAAAACTGTCTAGGGACAAAAAAAAATTATGATATTCTTCTAGAATCTTCTATAGTTTTTTGACTCAACTGAAAACCTTCTCTCAGTCTATAAATACAAGATGCTGACTTTTAGATTAACTTGCTTACATATCAGCTTAGTGTAAATAGTGCATCTGTGCAACCCTTTTCCTCCCTGAAACCAGACTGGAACATTCGTCCATTATCAATCTGACAGAAGCCTCAGCAATGCTCATGAGCTGAAAGCCAAAATCAGGATAAGGAAAGGGAGCTGCTATTTGCAGATGATGCAGCAATTAGCACTCACTCAGAGGAGGAGCTGCAGTCTTTACTACCTGCATTTGCTGATTGATCACCATTGTTTGTGTGCGGTTAGACGTCACATAGAGCTGACATTAGATTCCTCCACTCCACTCTAGTGCATGCAACCTTCCCCACTTCTGACATGGAGTTCAGCCCAGCCTTCCTTGCCTCTTGTAATAATATTCTTCTTAATGCTTCTCTTAGACGTCCTCTTTTTCTCAGACCACTTGTTTACCATTTCAGTACCTATTTTGTATTTCTTTGCTCATTTCATCTCAGAGTGTGCCCAGTATATATCTACCTTTTTATCTTATGGCAATCGATACCGATATTTGTTAAGACATATCTTTGATCAACTCCCTCATTTTGAATTCATCACATTTTATGTTCATGATTTTTTCATACATTTATTTTCAAATGCATTTAACCTCCATTCCATATCTTTGGTAGTTCTCCAACTGTTGCTGGCGTATGTTAGAACTGAAATAATGTTAGAAATGAATCCTTCACTAATAATAGTCAACTCCAAGACAGTGGTCTTTATATTGTTTGATTTGCCTTCAATTCACTGTTCTCTCTCTTCTCATCAGTTACCATATACCTGTTTTTAAGTTCTAACGGGAACTCTTGTTGAATTTTTCTGTTACACAGTCTTTGGCTATCTATTCTCTGCTGTGTGCTTTCATTTTTTTTTTTAAACAACTGCCGAGTTAATTTTAAAATTTCCTTGTGTGCAAAAATTATACCTCCAATTACTAGGTTTGACTGTAAGCATAACTATGCTAATCTCTCACTATTTTCATTCACTGTGTTGACACCTTACTTTCACACAGCTTGCAAATCAATGTGACATCATTATACCTACTCCTTCCATATTTTTTCCATCTTCTCTACCCTGGATAAATGAATGTTGAACTACTGCTTTTATCTGTTTCAGGCCATCTCACTTCACTCAACCCTAATATATTTAGATGTATTGTTTCATTTCTTCTGCTACCTGGGCTCATTTTGTTGTTTCTGCCATGGTTCTGATGTTCCAAAAACAATTTTAGTGCTTGTTTGAGAACCAAGCAATGTGAGAGTCTTGTTACTGACTTAGCGGATTTCATCAGTACCGCTCATTGATGCACTCATTGCATTGCAAACCACTTGGTTGTTCTGTTGACCAGAATGGCATCCTTTTCTGCTAGTTTTTGTAGCTATGAAACAAATCTTGTGGTGAGGTAGCCTCATGTGGCCTCATGCACACGCCGGGCTTGGGATCGGCAGTGGTTGTGAATTTCAACTAACAATCAGCAAAACAGAATACAAAGATTATAGTGCCATATGGCAATGAAAACAATCACTGGACCAATAAATCAACATCAGGATGGGTAAGGCAGCAACAACAATGAGCAGATTTACAACAACAAAAACACGTTTGGCAGACCAGAAAGCTCCCAACTAAAATAAAAACTCTTGTCTATCAGGCTTGTGTTCTCAGCACTCTTCTTTATGACAGTAAGACTGGTCAGTTAATTCGCACCAGGAGCAACGGTTAAATAGTTTTAACATGCAATGCCTAAGAAGAATACTTGGCATTAAGTGGCAGGACAAGATCACAAACACTGAGGTATTGGAAAGAGAAGATATTACAAGTTTTCTCCATGCTCTGTCTGTGAAGGCTCAGGTGGCTGGGTCTCATCTGGAGAATGAAAGATAGTAAAGTCCCTAAGGACATCCTCTACGGTGATTATAAAAAGGAAGAAGATGTCAAGGTTGGCCTGTACTATATTACAAAGATGTGTGCAAGTGGGGCATGAATGGTACAGATTCTGATGTGGATTAGTGTGAACAAGATGTCTTGGACCATGTTGCGCTGAGGGGAAAATTAGGAAGGGAATGAGAATGAAGGAAGAAATGATTGCAGAAAGGATGAGAGCTGAGCATCTGAGAAGAAATATACTAAATACAAAAGATGGCAACCCTGGTCATATAATTGTGGAAGACTTTTCTTTAAGTGGGCGGGTTTTGCTAGTCAGATTTGCCATTGCCATGGGCTGTAAGTCCCATAAGTCCCATGCCTCATCATAGTACACTATCTAGAAAAAGGGAAAGGTCCCAATAATATGAACAATGATCTCTCAATGTCTTTTATATTTGCATCTTTTTCTCAATGTCTATTTTTTATATTTACATCTGTCTCTCAAAATCTGTTATGTGATACATACATTCTATCTGTGAATGAAGGTCGTTGACCAAAACTTGTAGCTGGGCTATATTCATCTCCTGCAGCTTGCTTGTGGTCAGATGTAATCTCCGGCCACTGCCCAGGTCAGGTATGCCCACCTGAAACATGTCAACAGAGACATATCAGTACAAACATGTCAACAGAGACATATCAGTACAAACATGTCAACAGAGACATATCAGTACAAACATGTCAACAGGGACATATCAGTACAAACATGTCAACAGAGACATATCAGTACAAACATGTCAACAGAGATATATCAGTACAAACATGTCAACAGAGACATATCAGTACAAACATGTCAACAGAGACATATCAGTACAAACATGTCAACAGAGACATATCAGTACAAACATGTCAACAGAGACATATCAGTACAAACATGTCAACAGAGACATATCAGTACAAACATGTCAACAGAGACATATCAGTACAAACATGTCAACAGAGACATATCAGTACAAACATGTCAACAGAGACATGTCAGTACAAACATGTCAACAGAGACATATCAGTACAAACATGCCAACAGAGACATATCAGTACAAACATGCCAACAGAGGCATATCAGTACAAACATGTCACCAGAGACATATCAGTACAAACATGTCAACAGAGGCATATCAGTACAAACATGTCAACAAAGATATATCAGTACAAACATGTCAACAGAGGCATATCAGTACAAACATGTCAACAGAGACATATCAGTACAAACATGCCAACAGAGACATATCAGTACAAACATGCCAACAGAGACATATCAGTACAAACATGTCACCAGAGACATATCAGTACAAACATGTCAACAAAGACATATCAGTACAAACAAGTCAACAGAGGCATATCAGTACAAACATGTCAACAGAGACATATCAGTACAAACATGTCAACAGAGGCATATCAGTACAAACATGTCAACAGAGACATATCAGTACAAACATGTCAACAGAGACATATCAGTACAAACAAGTCAACAGAGACATATCAGTACAAACAAGTCAACAGAGGCATATCAGTACAAACATGTCAACAGAGACATATCAGTACAAACATGTCAACAGAGACATATCAGTACAAACAAGTCAACAGAGACATATCAGTACAAACATGTCAACAGAGACATATCAGTACAAACATGTCAACAGAGACATATCAGTACAAACAGGTCAACAGAGACATATCAGTACAAACATGTCAACAGAGACATATCAGTACAAACATGTCAACAGAGACATATCAGTACAAACATGTCAACAGGGACATATCAGTACAAACATGTCAACAGAGACATATCAGTACAAACAAGTCAACAACAAATCTTCTCTCCATTCCCCCTCCCCCACCTCTTTTTGTGTGACATGTATTGGGCATATGGTGCTCGCCTCCTATTTTTATAAATATCTCATCAGCTGCCTTTACTTCTAAGAGCATTTCCTTGTAGCTACTTTTAGGAAGATTGTTAATTATAAAATCCACCTCATTATGGACTTGAACCACAGGGTCAAGAGGCAAGTAAGATTGTCCTCATCCTATGTACCGACTGTTCTAGTTATAACTAGAATCACCTCAACCAGTTAAATGATGTCTGCACCAGAAAGGCTGGCTAGACTGGGTCGCCAACATTTTGTCAATTTCTTTTTGTTGTACACTCAAGAGTTCTCATTGTCTGTTTTTTTTAAAATATTATTTCTAATTTCAGTCATTGCCTATCTTCTGTCCACCTGCCTGTCCCGCCCTCTCTTTGTTTCAGTGTGTTTGTATGAAACAAAAGTCATTGATCAAGGCTCACAAATTCTTTTGTTACCCGATATTTTGATGAAGTCAATGTAGTTCCTATTTAAATTTGTTGCCCAGCTTTCTGTTAATCTTCTTTGGCTTCTCTTGCCCAGTAATTTCCCACATAAGGATAATTTATCTATTCTACCTCTTCTGTTGACACACTAGATGAATCTCATTTATCACATTATTATGGCTTCATTAATGTGACATTGCATTCAGGATACTCTAACATGCTCTGTCCCCCTTTTCAGTAACAAGTTAGTTTTCTTATGCACATGAAGCACTAGCCCTATCTCCAAACTTTCACATTCTAATTAACTTGAGAAAAAACTGTTCTGCTACATTATGTTTATTTTTCAACCTGTCTGCATACTGTCCATGTTTCACTTGCAGGCACAAGTCTAGGTTCTATATAGCAATTTAACAATTTTCTTGTTTAAACCATAACTAACTGCTGTTTACCACTAATAATGTTCTCCATCATACACAAGTCTAGGTTTTATGTAGTACTTTAACAATTTTCTTGTTTAAACCGTAAGTGACTGCTGTTTACCACTAATAATGTTCTCCATCATACACAAGTCTAGGTTCTATGTAGCACTTTAACAATTTTCTTGTTTAAACCGTATATGACTGCTGTTTACCACTAATAATGTTCTCCATCATACACAAGTCTAGGTTTTATGTAGCACTTTAACAATTTTCTTGTTTAAACCGTAAATGACTGCTGTTTACCACTAATAATGTTCTCCATCATACACAAGTCTAGGTTTTATGTAGTACTTTAACAATTTTCTTGTTTAAACCGTAAGTGACTGCTGTTTACCACTAATAATGTTCTCCATCATACACAAGTCTAGGTTTTATGTAGTACTTTAACAATTTTCTTGTTTAAACCATAACTAACTGCTGTTTACCACTAATAATGTTCTCCATCATGTACAAGTCTAGGTTTTATGTAGCACTTTAACAATTTCTTGTTTAAACCTAACTGACTGCTGTTTACCACTAATAATGTTCTCCATTATGTACAAGTCTAGGTTTTATGTAGCACTTTAACAATTTTCTTGTTTAAACCGTAAATGACTGCTGTTTTCGACTGATAATGTTCTCCATCATGTACAAGTCTAGGTTCTATATAGCACTTTAACAATTTTCTTGTTTAAACCATAACTGACTGCTGTTTACCACTAATAATGTTCTCCATCATGTACAAGTCTAGGTTCTATTTTTTTTGGTTGAGTTGATTGGTAGCTTCTCTAGGCTATGGACCTAAACAGATCACCTACAAACATGTACTGTATTTGTCAATACATGTCAGAAAGAATAGATATTGTAGTGAGTTCCTAAACCCACTTTAATTTGCTCTAGCATACAATATTCTTTTTCTATGCTCTCACTGTGTCCCACAATATTCCCTTACCTCTCTCTCTCTCTCTCTCTCTCTCTCTCTCTCTCTCTCTCTCTCTCTCTCTCTCTCTCTCTCTCTCTCTCTCTCTCTCTCTCTCTCTCTCTCTCTCTCTCTCTCTCTCTCTCCCCCCTGATCAAAATGGACGATAAGGAGGGTCACTGTTTTTCACTGTGGCAAAATTTTTTCTCAATTTAGAGACTGAAAGAATATAGTTTAGTTGTCCAGCTACTGAGCTGAGTGCATGGCCTGACACTGTGAGCTGCAGATTTCATTTGGAATGTTCTTTGATTGTGACCAACGTGGTGTTGTAAACTGAAGTTTAAGAAAATGGTGAGTAGCCTGTGGTAACAGAACTGATGGTGCTTTATGTGATTAAAATTGATTGTGTGTGTGCAACTGCTGATCTGTATCTGCTGCCTCCATTGATGAAGAACATTCATTTCTAATGTCGGACTATGTATGCTAGTGGATATGCTGAGACTGCAGCCTGTGTCAATTTTTCCATAAGCGACAGTGATGGACATTTGTATGTGTTTTTCATTGGCACAGGAGCAGAGCAACCATGGAGTGATTTTACTGTGAAGTTGAAACTAAGATTACCCAAGCTCTATGTCCTCTCTCTCTCTCTCTCTCTCTCTCTCTCTCTCTCTCTCTCTCTCTCTCTCTCTCTCTCTCTCTCTCTCTCTCTCTCTTGCTAACATTTGCAATTTTTTAAACTGAGATCTAAGTTAACATTGTTACATTTGTCAGCTTTTACTTTCTTGCATTTGTTTCGTTTATCACATAAGTTTCATGTTTTTAATTTTCAGGTAACATTTCTGTTCTAACTGTATATCTATATATTGCTTGCAACAGATCATATTAAGAACAAAACCCACTGAACTGAAGCTGTTGAAGTCAGATAACAAAATATATCTGTCAGGAAAATCAGTTCAAATATACTGACATTTCAAACAGAGTATAAACTAAAGACGGCTGTTAGAAGATTGGAAAACACGTGAGGGTTACCATGTCTGCTATAGGTGATTTCTTTTTGGTCTGTTTGTCCACCTCCAGTTGCATTCGAGCCATGGTGGATGCCTAGAAAATAGAAAGATTGTCACCGAAGTCAGAACAGACACATGGTGCTGTCTGTTAAATTCATCATTTACTCAATCAAGTTATTCCTACTTACTTAGTCGCTTCTCTTCTACCTTGGGGCGTAAATGTTTGCCAGAGAGATCGCCAGACGTCTCTATCAGCAGTTTTCTTTCTGGCTTTGTTCCATTCCAGTCCTCTGTCAGTTAGATACTGTTGGATGTTGTCTTCCCATCAGATCCTGTGTCGCCCTGGAGGTCTGGTTCCCAGGTTCTTAGCCTTCCTTGCCTACCATGGTGGCCGATTTTCTCAAATTCTGTATACATGTCGAAACCATAGTAACTGTGACTGATTCACTCGGGTTTATAAGGAATGGGTATCAAAATCCTGACCTATTGTCTGATTGTGGACTTTGTCCCTTCTTGTCACTTGGACCAGAATGAGTTATTCTGAGAGAAAATATTTAGCCTACCAAGACGTGGTCCTGGTGCAACCTCCATAAGTGGCAGGATATTTTTTTTTTTTCAAAACTGGGTGGTCCTCAGGTCAACCCAGCATTATAAATACTGGGTCCACATAATTTCTATTATTTGGGGATTGACTGGGAAGGAAAGATGATAATGATGACAGAAACTAGCCATCCTTCCTCCATAAGACACGGCTTAGACTGCAGGTGAGCCTAGAATATAAGAAGGCCTAAAATATGTTTTAACCTAGAATGTGTGAGGAAATAGAATTTGTGTGGGTCTATAAAATGTGTGGTCCTAGAATTTATATGTGTCTGTAATATGTATGGGCCTAGATTGTGTGTTAGCCCAGATTGTGTGTAGGCCTAGAATGTTTGTGGGCCTGGAATATGTGTGGGCCTGGAATATGTGTGGGCCTGGAATATGTGTGGGCCTAGAATGTGTGTTAGCCCAGATTGTGTGTAGGCCTAGAATGTTTGTGGGCCTGGAATATGTGTGGGCCTGGAATATGTGTGGGCCCAGAACGTGTGTGGGCCTAGAATGTGTGTGGGCCTAGAATGTGTGTGAGCCTAGAATGTGTATGGGTCTAGAATTGATGAGGGCATTGAATGTGCATGGGCCTAGAATATGTGTGGACCTAGAATGTTTGTGGGCCTAGAATGTGTGTGGACCAATAATGTTTGTGGGCCTAGAATGTGTGACAGCCTAGAATACATGAGGGCATAGAATGTGTGTGGACCTATAATGTGTTTGGGTCTACAATGTGTGTGGACCTAGAATATATGTGGGCCTATAAAGTTTGTGGACCTAGAATATATGTGGACCTATAAAGTGTGTGGCCTAGAATGTGTGTGGGCCTAGAATGTGTGTGGGCCTAAAAGAAAATGTGTGGGCCTAAAAGAAAATGTGTGGGCTTAAAAGAAAATGTGTGGGCCTAAAAGAATATGTGTGGGCCTAGAAGAATATATGTGGGCCTAAAAGAATATTTGTTGGTCTAAATCTCATAGGCTTTCATGGTTCTGGTTAGAGGGAGAATTGTAAAGGAAGATAGCAGTGTTTTTGCCTTGCCTGTTTTTGCCTTGACTACATTTAGTCTAATACTGGAACGATAGTGGATGGCTTAAGACAGTGGCAAAGAGGAATATTCTCAGTGGAATTAATCCAGAACACCAAAGACTGAGATCTGTGGAGATGTATGAAAGCCTATGCCAGCTGGCAAGGCCCTTGATGATGTTGACAACAGGCTGAGGCACATGTTGAAGATGTATCGGAGTGCTTATAGACTTATCCCATGTTTGATGAGTTGATGATGATGACGGTCTGATTAACCAACTCCTCCTCCTCCCCTCTTCTTCTTTTTCACCTCCACCTTCCTCCCTCTCTTCTTCTTTTTCTTCCTCTTTCTCCTCTCCTTCTTCTTCTTCCTCGTCTTCTTCTTCTTCTTCGTCCTCTTCATTTTCTTCTTCATTTTGGCCTCTAAAAGGGAGCTGGCACATGTAAACAAACAGACACAGAAAATGATATTAGCACTATAAACTAAGATAGTGTTTGCAATATTAAATGGTAGTAAACAGTAGGTGAGTATGCCATGGGCTGCCTCCGATGGTGGGAGACTGCTTCTTATGTGACTGATCAGCTACTACCAGTCTCAAGCTGGGCAGCCCTCAGTCAATCCTCAACAGCTTGTGTGTTTCAATGGGTGCTAGGTGCCAGGCCACAACCTGACCCTAGACTATCAAAAACCACTGCAGCATGAACAGTGGGAACAGAATGCTATGAACCCTGTTTCATGGAGGCTGAAAATCACAAAGGAAATAGACATATAGGAGAAAATGATGGCTCACTGATAGAGAGCTGAAGCACATGAAATATATGTGATCGCAGCAATGGACCTCAAATCACACGCACTAGCTGTGGAAGACAGTTTCTGTAAGCAGAAACTTACTTAACATAAGTGGATCTTAGTGACACTTGTCAACATCATGGTATGTGATTCTAGTCTCTCTCTCTCTCTCTCTCTCTCTCTCTCTCTCTCTCTCTCTCTCTCTCTCTCTCTCTCTCTCTCTCTCTCTCTCTCTTGCTTGCTCACTATCACATTAAAATTCTGGAAAGATGGAAAGTTATCAACAGAAACCAGTATGAAATAGTCAGAAGTATTGAACAAACATGGGGAGTCGCCATGGCCGAGCGGCAGATCAGAAGGTCGTGGGTTTGCTCCCTGGCGGAGCCTGACTTTTTTCAAAAATGACCTTGGCTCTCAGGTTGACCCAGCCTTGAGTGGGTACTGGTGCAGTCCCAGGAAAGTAAAGGCGGCCGGCGTGATGCTGACCACATCACCCATCTTGTGCCGACTGGTCTATAAAAATATAGGTCTAGCCCTATATGCCTGATGGCGTGAAAAAAGGTCCTTTCCTTTTACTTTACTCTTTATTGAACAAACATAAATATCCACAATTTGAAAAGATGTTTGTATATCTCAGTTATCTCTAGGAAGAGGTGAATACAGTATTTCCAATAACAGTAATGCTGCTATGTACAAGTAAGTTAGGAGGATTAATATACAATCCTTAATGCAAAATAATCGACCAGGTAGCATAACAAACCATTTATTTTTACTGCGGGAATAGTTACCAAACTAAAACTGTCATAAAAAGTATGTGATAACTGTTAAAATTGATTACTGAATTTGTTTAAGCAAATAGTTAATGGGGAGCGGGGGGGCTGAGGAGTTAGCTTTTTGATCCTTTAAATGTATTATGCATTGTATTCTCTCGTCAAAAGTACAAAAAGTTCAACATTTGCCATCATTTTGCAATTCTTTAATGCGGATACTATCACACTGCTGCAAGAGTCTGTTTAAGTTTATCCAATTATCTAAACTGATGTTTCTAGATTTGTTTATGCACCTTTTATCCAGGAGTTTGAAGTGTATTTCATAATGTGCCAAACTGCTCTGGTATTCTTAAAATGAATGCCATGTCCCATTGGTCATCACCCACGTCTGTCCAAGTGAACTGTAGATCATTGTTGATACAGAAGTTCCTCCATGCCACAATGCCTGATGGTCTAACATATTCTTCCTTGATCCCTTGCTTCAACCTTCCTGTTGTTGGGATGTACAGCTGTCATGACGTGCCAAACTTGTGGACTGTCCAGCACATTCAACCAGCTATATAAATAGAAGGACCAGAAGAGAACCTCAAGAAGACTAACCTAATTAACAAATGACATTAGATGTTGGATATGCTGACTGAAAAGCTCATATATAATAGTTCTACTTTAATAATGCATGACAGTTCATACTTCCAAGTCAGAATCAACACTAAACCAACAAGAAAGAAGAAGATGGACCCACCTGTGCCAGGGCCAGGGTAGCCTCTGACTGAAGCTTGGTCTGTTTGCTGGCAAACCTTTGAATCTCCCCAGGAAAACATGGATGGTTGGGTAGCGGCACAGCAGGCTCCGTCTGGGGAGGCACAACCGGGTTATTATTAGTGGGCAGGATATGTGGCTTTTGCCAATTGTTTCTGGAATATAAGGTCACAATGCAACAAATGTTTCAGAGTAACAAACAATGAGACAAACATGCTCTCAGCTTAAGGAAACGATAATGATGTCAGGTTGAATTGTTGTGTTTGTATAGTTAAGTCATTGTAATGAAAGGTGTGAAGAGGTTCGAAAAGTATCCTTATCCATCCGCCCATCCACTTATCTGGCTAGCCCACTCATGCATCTGTCTGTGCATCTGTCAGTCCATATGTCTGTCCCTCCATCCATCTTCTTCTTCTTCTTCGTGTGTTCGCTTTCTGATTTACACTGACAGACAGGTTCTTGTGATAAACTTGACTGTTTTTATGAGTTCCTTTTTAGTCTAATACAACTTTGTGTGCAGTGGTGACTCTCTGGGCCAGTATTCTCTTCTTAATGGGATGAACAAGGGACAGTCTTGCAGGACATGTTCTGTAGTCTGCACACATAGCCCACAAGGACACACAGGTGAACTACTTAGACGAAGCCTGTGCATATGCTGGTTAAGTTTGTTATGTCCTGTCCTGAGACGAAGGACAATGACCTGCCCATGCTGGTCAAGTAAGTGGTAGTCATCTCTGCGCAGACTCTGTTCACTTCTAATAGCCTGGATGGCCCTTTTCTTCTCATAGTATGTTACTGCATTCTCTTCCTGGTCACATTCTGCCCCTTTTTTAGCAAGTTTATCTGCGGTTTCGTTTCCTGGTATACCACAGTGGGATGGCACCCACTGGAGTACAGTACACTTTTGGGCAGCCACCTTGCCAAGTTCAGATCTTAGGTGAGGGAGTTTGCCGCTTTTGAAGGCTTGAAGCACTGATAGCTCATCTGTGAATATGACCACTTGGTGGCAGTCAGAACTGGTGTTGTGTAACATTTCGGCAGCCTGCTCTAGTGCTACGATCTCTGCTGTGTAGTTGGAACAGAATTTACCAGTGGGTATCCACTTTGTGTGGCGATGGTTGCCTGGGTATGTAATAAAGACTCCAGCACCCCCATTTTAGACTGTTCGGGATAGTTTTCGTGAATCATGCTAAGAGCAGCTGTTCGTTTTTGAAGATCATTGGACTCATCTCCAGTTGTGAATCCAGTCCATCCATCCATCTATCCACCCATGCATTAACACACATAATAAACAAACAAACAAACACACAAACAAGCAAACACACACACACCCACACACACACACACATATATATATATATAAAAACAGTAAAAACTTCTACGCCTTAGAACAGGACACAATTGACTTTGCAGCCACATGTGCACAAAATTTAAAATCAGCGAATCAGCCATATGCACATGTGGATTGGCACCCGAGACAACAGATCATGTCCTACAAGACTGTCCCAAATACAACAGATCAAGGCAAAACTTTTGGGGAAAGAAACATTGGTGCAATTCAAACTTTACGGCTTGCTGAGAATTACCTCATACAGATGATGACTATCATCCCAAGTGACAACATAATGAGCAATAACTGTCATTACACTATAAAACAATAAGCAATGATTGTCAATCCATGTGACAACATAATGAGCAATGACTGTCATTACACTATGAAAACATAATAAGCAATGATTTTCAACCCATGTGACAACATAATGAGCAATGGCTCTCATTACACTATGAAAACATAATAAGCAATGATTTTCAACCCATGTGACAACATAATGAGCAATGACTGTCATTACACTATGAAAACATAATATGCAATGATTGTCAATCCATGTGACAACATAATGAGCAATGGCTGTCATTACACTATGAAAACATAATGAGCAATGATTGTCAATCCATGTGACAACATAATGAGCAATGACTGTCATTACACTATGAAAACATAATGAGCAATGATTGTCAATCCATGTGACAACATAATGAGCAATGACTGTCATTACACTATGAAAACATTATAAGCAATGATTTTCAATCCATGCGACAACATAATAAGCAATGGCTGTCATTACACTATGAAAACATAATATGCAATGATTGTCAATCCATGTGACAACATAATGAGCAATGGCTGTCATTACACTATGAAAACATTATAAGCAATGATTTTCAATCCATGCGACAACATAATAAGCAATGGCTGTCATTACACTATGAAAACATAATATGTAATGATTGTCAAACCATGTGACAATATAATGAGCAATGACTATCACTCAGGGTGACAACATAATGAGCAACAACTGTTAAGTCTATGTAATAACAAAATGAGCAATGACTGTTACTCCATGTGACAATATAATGAGCAATGATTGCCAATCCATGTGACAACATAATGAACTGTCACTCCTTGTGACACAGTAATAACTAATATATGTTGTCAAGTGACAAAAAGATGAAATGGCTAGTTGTAGCCACAAAACCTGTATGACATTTGTGTCCAAATAATTTACAAGTATGGGCAGGAGTTTAGCCAAACTTTTCTATTAAACACCAAAGCGAGAAAATATAAACACTGCAGTTAGGATACCAGTCCACCAACCTATTATATTCCAATACAGCCTGGTATAAGAACTCTGCAATTTTAAAAATATAACAGATCTGCCTTTAAAACACTCCGCTCTGGTTAACATACTAAAAAGCTAACAACCTCACATTTACAAGTGTCTGGTTAGCAAATATTTCCAGAAAACACTACTGGCTCTATACAACAACTGAGGTGAGAAAGCTGGTGGAGGTTTCACGGAAAGAGATGGAGCCTACAGGACGACAACCTCACATTAAAACATCTGTGTGTCCAGTATGTTATAACGTTGATTCATAAAACATAAATCAGTCAATTATTACTCAACCATTCTTTCATTCGGTATGTTATAACGTTGATTCATAAAACATACATCAGTCAATTATTACTCAACCATTTTTTCATCCAGTATGTTATAACGTTGATTCGTAGAACATACATCAATCAGTTACTCAATCATTCTGTCAACATTACAACTGGCTCATTTTTACAACACCCTAGTTAGCATTACGTGTCAACATCATCGTGAAAACAGCAACATCTTCAACAGTTCTGCAGCGTTTCCCTGTTTACACGAAGCCCACATACTTAAGAGAAAATCACCCTCTCTGGCCCACACATTACAGAGAAAGTTGCTGTCCCAGTGTTATAAATCAACAATTATTGTTGACGTTTGCACAAAAGCTTTCTTCTCTAACCATTGATTTCCTCGCCCGTGACGCCTCCAGGGACACCCCATGTATTATTCATCTGGGAGGTGTCTCCGCGAACTTTGCTTACACTTGCCAAGTTCAATCAAACCCAATTCACGTTACCATGGCAACTGGCTTGGCTAGGCACTGCCAGCTAGCATCAGCTGTTGTGTGATGGGACTGGTCACTTGTACTGGCATTGTTTCCTCCCCCACCACAAGCCAACAACATGTATTTATGCGTTTTCCTAACTTGATTATGCTGCGGCGGTGTCACCGTTTTGTTGAAGAGTTAGTTGCTCTTGTAATGTTTCAGACTGGACCGCCAGGCCCAAGTAGTACAAAATATAGCGATTACACAATCGGATTATAAAAACAATGACTGCACAGGGGTTGAAAGCCGACAGTCTGAGAAGAAGCACACTCAACAGTTATGTTGGCAGCAAAGGTCCGAAATCCCGTGTTTTATTTGTGGAAGATTTTCTGACTGACTTTCTATCCCACCAGGACATCACACAAGCGATAAACACCCGATAACACAATATGCCACCATGCGGGTGAGGATCACCGTGGAGAGGTCCCAGAAACCGCGTTCACTCTTTAGGCCATATTTATGGCCAAGCTATATTGCCGCCCCTGGCAAAAGCCAGAGTAGGGCTTCAAATAACGAAAAATTTCATCCCAAAAAGGACGAGAAGTACAGGATTTACAACGAAGATTTTCTTAACCCAGGAGGGATTTTCTAGTCACACTCTCCATCGCCAATGGTTGTGAGTTCCATGTCTCTCCATGTCACAGAAAGACGGAAAGGTGCCAACAACACGGTATTACTTCGCAAGAAAAATTCGCAGATTTTTGAATTTGTAGTATTTTAAACAACTTTCCTCATCATCAGCATCATCATCATCATCATCAATTTCCACTTCTGCGGTTAGGCCCTGTAAGGAGAAACATTGTGCGATCCACTGCTTGATGGGCAGCAATAGCTTCTGTCACTCCGTGTCGGTGTAGAAGCTCTTTAATGTCATCAGTCCATTTCTCATAGGGCTGCCTCTTGATTTCACTTCAGATCTGTTCATGTGTAGCGCCTGCGTTACTTGTTGTTCTGATTGCATTCTTACTAGATGATCAAACCTTTATCTTCTGTTTCTCAATGAATTTGCTGCATTGTATTGCTCATACAGTCTGTCTGATAATATCAGTTCTAACTTTCTCTCGGAGGCGTATGTTCGATCTGTCTATGCTGGGGCTGAGGCCTCTGGCTCGTGACGATTCCTACATTTGAACATTTTGGCACCGAAGCCAACTTAGTTGAATAGTCCGGGTTTAGGGCCTCGTGGATTGTAATTTTTGTCCCCGACACGAAAAGATACACAACTTTACCAAGAATTTGAACCCGTGAATTCATGTCTAACTAACCATGCCTGATCAACAACGTATTATACTCGAATCCACTTGTGAAAGGTATAAGCCATTATCTGTATACATTTAATTACAACTGTTGTATATTCAACATGCGCGCGCGCACGCACACACACATACACACACAAACACAGAGTCATTACATTTAAGGATAAAGAGCGTCGGCTACCAATCCTCCACACTGACTGACTGACTGACTTTCTACCCCACTAGGACATCACACAAGCGATAAACACCCGATGACACAAAGTGCCACCATGTGGATGAGGATCACCGTGGAGAGGTCCCAGAAACCGCGTTCAGACAATTGGCCATATTTATGGCCTGCCTATATTGCGGCCCC